TTTATAATAGAAGTTTTATCACAAATGCGTTGAGAAGACTCTGAGAACTCAAATAAAAAAGTGATCTTATTTGTGCTTTAAAAAGTTCACTCAGGCTGCTGTGTGGAGAAAGACCAGAAGATGACACGAAGGGGAGAAGGAAGCCAGTCCGGAGGCTGCAGCAGTCACCCAGGAAGGGCGACGGTGGCAGTCTCTCTCTGCAGAGGACCAGACAGCAAGTGTTTCCAGCCTTGCAGGCCATCGGTCTCTGCTGCAACTATTCCACCTGCCAGTGTCGCACAAGGTAGCCACAGACAGCATGGAAAGGAACAGGCATGACAGCGCTCCAATAAAACTTGAATCATTCTAGGAAACCCCTGTTTCTCCACTTACCGAGAGATGTTCCCGGCCAGCTTTGTCTGCATCTGTGGAAGGGATTTCATTACTTCTGTTTGTGGTGTCCCCAATGTCATTTGCTGCAGTCCCATAATCTTAAATTGGAGAAAGTGGAAACAGAGGAAACATGAAGTTGTCATTAGGCTGCCAGCAAACATGAGGCCACAGTAAGACCCAGACGAAGCAAGACAAATCACAGAGATTCCAAACCACTGACAGCCTGGCTGTGGAGGGACGGGGCCTGGCTGCCGAGTTAGACCCATTGTAGCACGGGGACTGCCCAAGGCCAAAATTTTATTCAACCCAGATCTTTACATCACTGTTTGGCTGGTCACATTCTAAACCTGGTTTAGGGATTTTTCTTTGCCCACAAGAATATATCTCTTTATTGATGGCATATTTAAAACAAATATGAAAGAGGATCAATTATCTGAGAGCCATAGATTTATAGACTTGGAAGAGTCCTTATAGGACCCTTTACTCCACATGGATCAGGATGGAAATCAATGACTGATTTTATTGTGCGTAGTTTTTATTAGTAATAACACATACAAAAGGTCACAGAAAATTCTTGGTAAATGTACTGCAGACAATGTTGTTTATGAATGTTTGTATATTAATTCTAAATAGGGCCAGTGCCTTCAGTTTCCATCCTTAACGAGCTACCTCATTAACCCAGTCCAGCTAAATAAGCTTCTCTAGGTAGAATCATCACGCTGGTCCTGGGGCACCAATTTAAATTATATTTTTATTAGCAGACTGTTCCTTTGAATGTGAATAAAAAGTAACAAAAAATCACCTGTTTTCTGTTTTATTTTCTGTTTGCTATTTTATGCTTAGTGCCCAAAATCGTATTCTCATCATTTTTATTTTGGATATCTTAAAAATGATTCCAAACACTAACAGATATCATTTATTTGTGTCTGTGGGTCAAAGACACAAAGTGGGATCGGAAGCCAACAGGAAGATGATATTTTCAAAGTCTTAAAGTTATTGGAAAGGAGTCCAAAACATAACTTAAAAATGTAAAATCAAGATTCAAACATATTTCTCTGTGACATAATATGAGATATTCTTTCTTTAAACCACTTTGGAACATATAAAAACAAAAGTACACAAGCTACATGCACAAAATCAACCAAATCACAGATTTCAAGAAATGTGGCTTAACATGCACAAGCAGGTAAAGACAGCATAGTTCCCCAGTTAACATCAGCTCAAGTTAAATATACACACACGTAATAAACATACAAATGTAGAACTGTTTTACAGAAAAACTAAAATGTCAATATGGACATATGAATATAAAACTAAAGAACAGACCATTTTATAGAACAAACATATAAATATAACATTTTAATCAATTGAACTTTTAATCATTCTTAAATTTCAAGCCAAGTGTTGAAGTGCAGTCTGCCAGTTCCCCAAACAGTGGCTTCCTGACCACAAAAGTGGTTTGGAAATCTGTTAAAGATGAGTTTTTACCTCTAGTTAAACATTCTTGGCATTCGATCAAAATAGCAAACTAGAGATGAGGTATTCAATCAAAAGCTAATATAGTGGACCTTTTGGTTTCTTCCCTTCCACATCCTCACAAGAACCCCATTTTATTCAAGGGCTTCAGCCTGTCCGCCTCTGGGGAAGCTGACCTACCCTCTGGGAGTGGGACTAGGTAGTCACGGGTCAATCCATGCCTTTTATCAGACACGAAGGCAAGAATGATCCGGGAGTCTTGCTGGGTCTTGAGTGGGGTATAGAAAGGGCTGCTGGAGGTCTCCGGGAAAGCTCTTTCTTCCGGGACACCTCCGGAAGCTTTCGCCTTTTTCGCATCCATGTGAATGGGAAAAGTGCCTCTGCCAGCATGATCTTGTAACATAAAGGGAACCGGCTTTCAGCAACGCTGGCGCCACAGCAGAGGAGCGTAAAGACGAAAGGAACACGGGTCCTCAAGGACACAGTTGAGCCAACCCGAGAGCAAGCCCCACCTCTGAAGCTCCTGTCTGTGAGCCAAAGTTCCTCGATGTACAAGAAACATAACTTTGAATTGGGTTCACCATCATAGCCAGAAACTGATACACCTCCCTTTTCTTGGTAGTCACGGCTTTTAAACAGACAATTTGTTCCTGATTATGAAAACAACATGTCTGCTACAGTGGAATGGATTTACTACTTCCAGGAACAGAGCATGAGACAGAAAGTGCTATTCACAGACTCTGCAAACATCAAGGGAAAACAACCATCAATACTGAATGATTTTTGAAATATTATTTTGGCCTATGGAATGCTTAACGTGTATATTTAACTGAGCTTAGAGGTGTTCTTCTACTTGATTTATTTCATTATACACAAACATTTTGAAAAATATAAAGTAAAGAAAATATGATAGCTACCTCCATAATCAACATAATTCAGGTTTGTACCTAAAAAAAGCAAAACACAGCAAAGGTTAATAAGTATGCATTTTGGAGTTAAAAAATTACTCACCTATCCCAACTAAAATAAGCTAAATATACATTGAAGACTTTAAAATCAAACAGACTGTTCTACAGGGCACGTAAATAAACCCTGAACTTCTTGGTTTGCTTCACGTTAACTCTGTTCTCCCCAGTCCTCCAACTTCCACCCCTTTGAAAATGAAAAGAGTAATGAGAAACCAAAAACTACTTTGGAAAAATTTCTGCAATCAATGAATTACGACCGTTTCTTTTTTTGCACTGCTTCTATTTCTTTTTTCGTACTGTTTCTATATTGGCCATCTTAATTGCTATTTTGGTATTCTTATTCCAGAGACAGATCACTTTTGCACCACTTTTGTTATTCTCTGATGGTTTAGGAGTTACTGTCAAACTATGTGTAGCACAGCCGTTTGCATTTATGAACATATTCTTAACCACCTTGCATAATGATATCTAAAGCACAACTTTGCTCTCTATACCTAGTCTTCAGGGAGGATTCTAAGGCTGAAAAAAATCCATTTTTTTGCCCTAACATAACACAGAAAAATAAATTGTACTTTTTCTATGGAAATCATTTACATACAAGAGGTTATAAATAAATGTTACATCAGAGAGAAAGTAAACCAACTTGATTTTTCTGGACGGCTCTGCAGTCAACAAGATAATCCGAATATTCTGCCCTAAGGTATTTCCATGAGACTTGCCAAAAACATTTTTAATATTTTTCAAAACTCAGCATCAACGAGAACTGGTGACAAAAACATTTGCTACTTATTCTCCAATCAGAGATAACTGGGTTTCTACATGCAAGTCTACTTGGAAATAAAAGTCAGTTTTGTTATAACATTTAAGTGATTGCAAAATGAATTCCTAGAGCTCCTGCCCATGCTCTCAGTCCTCACTTGCCATGTGAAGCGGTAAAACTTGTAAACCATAAAGCTTACTCAGTTTTCATTTCACTTCTGAACTCTTAGCAGAAAAAGGCCATTAAAATAAAGTAGAAAGAGCCAATTTTCTATCCATGTATTCCCCAGCAAATAATCAAGGTTAGTCTAAATGAAGAACCAAATAAAAGTGGCCCCAATGTTCAAATTAGAATTTTAACACATCTCAACTGGAAGAGCATCTATTTTAGCAGGGAGAACATTAAATAGACAGCTGTGCACTTCGATTCAGGGATGCCACATACAGCCGTGTGGTCCCTGCTGTGCACAACTCTAGGGGGCGCTTTTTATATTGCAGTCTATATGAACAGCACCAGCTGAAACTGTACAGTGCACATCTGTGCAGCCGCTCAAAGCCATTGATTGCAGTAAACTTCAATTGTACTTTGAGTTTTATTATCCCAAACACCATTTCAAAGTAGTTTTGAGTTACAGTATGTCAGAATGAATTGCCAGAATTATTTGTAGCTGGTATGATACCCTGAGAAGGAATCTGAAGTCTGCCCTGCAGTTTGAGGGCAATTCAGTGAATAAAGCAGCAGGAATTACCAGGGCAGCCCTCCTGCTGTCATCTGCAGCACATCCACCCATCCTCTGAAGTCCTTTCCCTTTGCAAAGGCCCTCGACCAGTGGCGTCCCTCTCACCGTGGGGCTTTACTGCCCCTGCTGAAGGAATGGTGCTGTTGTACAACCCCAACAGAGCAAGTCACTCTTTGAACGGCTCAGTAATCCATTATGTGAGAAGATCTCACTCTGCCCTCTTCCTGCTGGGCATTCTGAGCCTGCAAGGGTACACACCCGCCAGAGGCCACACCTCACTTCCAGACCTCGCTCCAAGCACCTGGCACCCAGAACTCCCTTCCTCTGTGCCCCAAACCCCACTTCCTAGGCCTGGCCAGCCTTTTCTCTAGATCTGTCAACCCAAGGGCAGCCACACCAGCAGCATGAGCACCCTCTGACCCAAGGAGGGCCGAGGACTGAGCTGGGACAGGTGGGCTGGGGGGTCCACATGCACACTTGTGAAGCCTGTCATTGTGGAGCTCGAGTCACCAGTCAGAGGCCGTGGCCTCTCTATATTCCTGCATGCAACCCAGAAGTCTGAGAATTCTAACTTAAAACCCAGCCTTCCAGGTCACTATAAACGTATTTGTCATGTAGGAAAATAGAACTTACTTTATCTCACAATTCATTAACTTGATTTATAATTTTTCAGTATTTGGATAGAAGTATGCAGACCCTACTTTGTACTAGGTGACCAATCACTCCAGATTGCCTGAGGATTCCTGAATCATACTGGGGCAATCCCAACCAGATCCTTTCAGTTTGCCCAGGACTGAGGACTTTCCCCCAAGGTGGGACTTCCGTTGCTTAAACTGGGAGGAGCCGGTCCGCGTTCCTTGTTCTTGTGCCCTCGTGGACCGTGAGAGGGAGTTTGCGGTCACCATTCACTTTTACACATACGATTCTGTACGAACGTAAAAAGACTGAGCTCCAGAGCCAGATTCATCTCAGCCACACATTTAAACAGCCTCAGTGAGTAGGAATGATGTAAGATTCAATCTGCCTCAGCGCAGTGGGGGGCACCCAAACAGGGCACCCACACAGCCTGGGAAGATCCAAGAACGCCAAATCAACCCCGTGTCGATGGTGTCAGTTGCAGAAAAATGGGATTTGAGATGGAATCAAAAATAAATAGGTTGGCCCATCATATAGAAAACATGTCATTTTCCAGACGTGTGATTCTTATCAGTGCATGCATTTCCTACCAAGTTCACCAGCAAAACCAAGAGGCTGCATCTAAACTTTCTGAAAAGCACTATTTTTTTTTACTTCATTTTCCCAGATGTAGCAGAAGTATCATTGCTTCACTTTCTCTGTAACAACCAACTTTAGTGTAAGATTACGAGTCTTGCAGAAAGACATTGTGGGAGGAGCCATAACAGGGGGTGTTCTCTTCCCTAAGCACACCGCGCTGTGTCTGATGAGGGGCTACCCACCACGATAAATAAAAAAACACAGCTCTCGGTGCACAGAAGTTCAGAAAGCCTGGCACATGGCAGAATGTACAGATCTAGAGTTTATGAGAAACAAGGGTCACATCACTCCAGCTGACCCCAGCTGACCCCAGCTCATCAGCAGCAGTTTTGCTGTTGCTTCTAGCAACTTCCCAGTCAAGAAGAAACTGCCACGATGTCTATTTGCACTCTAATATTGAAGCAATTATTAGCATCATTTTAAATGCAGACGCTGAAAAAAGTTACCTCTTTCTTTTTAGACTTCTGGCCATGACCCAGTTTTTAAAATATCCTGCCATTTTTAAGTCTGATTTCTAGCTGGTTCCTTTTGCTTAGTGTAACGCGTTCATCGCATACTGCCGCATACTGTTACGTGCCAAAGTGAGGAACCCCCACTAGAGATATTCAGGACTAAAGGTAAATGAGGGGAGACAAGCAGTGGCTGTGAGGGAAAGTACCCAATGGGAGAATGAATGGAGGATGAAGGAGCAGGGGCGGCATCTGCTGAGTCACGCCCTGCAACTGGGATTCCATGTGCTTCCTTGAACACCATCTCAGTAGCTCTCAAGTCAAGAACCTCAGATTCAGGCAGCAAGAGGTGGCATTAAGCCCTAGAGCTTCATGTTGGGACTCTGTGGAATAAAATATGGAAATGCAGGACTCCATTCCACCCCCGGCACTCCCCACAGGGGCAGACTGTTTACTCCCTGCATGGTTCGCTCAAGCATAAAAGCTATACGTCCTCCCACCGAAAGACGAGGGCCCAGTACCCACGTCTGCTCGTCTGACGGGCAGACTGTTTCCCGAAGAGTTTGCTGAGCGTCCTAAAGTGCCCCCCTCACTTTTACTTTGGTCTTGACCTAAGGGGTGATGGGAAGAGAAGTAACAGGTCCAGAGTGCAGCTCGGAGCCCCAGGTGAAAAGCACAGTAGCGACGGCACGACAGCCACGGACACGGCCAGCACGGAGTGCGGCGTGAGCAGGCGGGTCTGTACCTCCAGGAGACAAGGCCTCGGCACGCGGGCTTCCAAACACGAAAGAGAAAATCGCTTTTCTTCTCTCAACAGTCTGCCATCCTCTGTGTCCCATGCCAAATAACCGAAAGCAGGATCTTTCAGTTTCCATCTTCTATCTGTTATAGCTCGTGAGTAAATCTTATGTCTTTTTACCTGGAAGACTCTACAGTTAGAGGAAAAACACATTTGTAGGATAAAATATAAATTGTGGGAAGAGAGGGAGCCAGACAGCAGGGTTCATTTTCCATTCTGCTACCAAGATAAAAATAATGGTGGAGGCCAGGAACACACATCTGTTTCTCTGCTTTAAGCTTTTAGTCTCCCTCCAATAGCCTAAAGAAAAAACAAAAAAAAAAAGAAAAGAAAAAGATTTTTCTTTCAATTCTGTTTGCAGACTCTTTTAGTGTGATCTCGAAAACTATTTCATAGAATTCCATATGATAAAGCAAGAGCAAAAGATGTGTCCTCTTCCAATCAACTGTCCTTGCTTTGCCAGCAGTGTTTTCTGACTCGGTGGTCCCCATTGTGACTTTCAGGTCCTCGCCACCGCCTTTCCTGAACGGCCACCTGCGCTCAGGGCCCGGGAGCGCTGGCGATGGGCAGTCTGGGCGTCCTCCCTGGCTGAAGCACTCGTGTGCTGTGCGTGGGCACAGAGGGCCCTTCACTTTTCCTGTAACAAAGGAGTCTTCCACAGCACAGGAGAGCACGATAACATGGGCTCGGCAGCTTCTTGGGAGCTTCGGGTATGCATAAGTAATTAACATTAGCACTCTCGAGAGATAAGGAGCTATTTAAGTTTAGATCTTAATTACCATGACTCTGAGTCTATGGCCAAACCACACTCTTCTCAGTTATTTAAGACAGAAAAGCAGGTAGAGAATTCTTTCCTTTCACCCCCAGGACAGGAAATGGGTTCTGACAAATGGCCTAGGTAACAAGTATGACACAGCCGGGGACGCTGCGCAAGCTCTCGGTGGGTGCTGACACTCG